GTGGTTTTTTTTTTTTTTTGGTGAAGCAGGTCACAGGAGTTGCCCAATGTTCCCTACTTGAAGTTCTTGTTCCCTTTAAACAATAGCTTTGTGGTCTATAATCCAGTTTTTGTCGTCTATGGTCTTCAGGTGCTCACTCTCTTTACCACATGGAAATTTCCGGATTTTCTTTAAAGCTTTTTCTTTCTTTAGATTAGAAAAATTGATCAAGTTTCAGGATCAAAGACCATAATATGCTATCCTGATAAAATATTGAAAGCAAAAATTGAACAGTTTTATTTGTTAAGCTCCCTCTTCTAGATTTGGGAGTAAGCTTAGCACATTTAACTTGTTGCCAAAATAGTCAGAAAAAATAGCCAAGTTCTGCTTTTGGACATCAGTTGCTTTTAGTGAAGAATGTGAATTTTCTCTTCGACTGATTCTGATCAGTTAATGTTTTCTTCTTTTTGTTTGTTTGTTAAGAAAAAAGAGGCTGTTACCGATGACAAAAATTTCAATGAAAGAGATGTTTTCATTATACTCCTCCGATGTAATGATGTTTTCCAATTTTCTAATAAACAAAAAAAAGTGCCACATTGCTTAAAAGAGCCAATGTTAATTGTTCATCTTTCAGATTACCTTTTAATCATTAATCCTTTATGGTAATTGCTTCACTTACCCAAATTTTTACTAGGGTCATGTTAATTTCTTAAACCCCCTAGTTTTTGTTTTGATGAAATACCTCTCCCTTTCCCTTTTTCAAATGAATTGAATTGTGGCTCAACCTGTGGATGGGGTTTGGTAAAAGGCTCTTGACCTGGTGCTCTTTAGCGCATTTATGATTACTTCTGTTTTTATGTTTAAAAAGGAAATGTAAATGTAAGAATAAAAAGCAAAATGGAGCAATATCTGGGTTTCAAAATACCCAGGGATAGAGAGGTCATTTATGAGAATTCAGCTATTCATTTTGCATGAAGAAATCTTGGCTATCGCAATTTTTTTGTACCATATATTTTGGGTTCTACTCAATTTTGAGACAGTAAGTAGCCATGAAATGTAAGAGCATGGTATACTATGCTAGATGAAGAAGTTTTTTTTTTTTTGTCTTTGTTTGTCTTGTTATCAATGTGGACTGTGTAGTTTGAAAGTAGCACTCAGATTGGTGAAAGTTCTCTTTAGATGAATTCTTAACTTGATGACCCTTGTGCAGGGAGTCTCTGGATTCTGTTTAGCCATACAGCCAGGGGAGAGGGATGTTGGCACAATTGGACGTACGCCGCTGTATTTATTTAATGCAAAATATGTTGTTTATATTATATTTGCTTTAATTATGTTTTCCTGTGTTTGTGTGCTCGCTCATGCGTAGGTTCCTGCCCCATTCATGCATTAGTGTTTGAACATGAAATCTTGATTATACTCTTATTAGGAAATGTATTTTGCAGAGAATTTCATGACTGGATACCGTATGGTGTTTGATAGGGAAAAAATGAAGTTAGGTTGGTCACCCTCAAATTGTAAGTTCTCTACTCTTTCTTAGCTCATATATGTGGGTAATGTGTTCTATCCCATCTTTGTGATTACATGGCTTGAAAATTAGATGGTCTGGGGTTATAGTTGGAAGGCGCTGTATCAATATATTTTCAACCCGGAAAACTTGTACTTAACAGCGCAACACCTTCCCTTGTCTCTATAAAACTTGTTCTTTATGCTTTTGGGCCAATGTTAACACAGCTTGATACCAGATCGTATATGAAAATTATAAAGGGCGTTAGTTTTGGTTTCTTCACTAGAAAAATAATTCTGAATCTCAATTTTCATGTTCAGGTCAAGATCTAGCTGATGGCAAAAGGATGTCCCTTTCTCCTAATGGAACACCCTCGAATCCATTGCCAACCAATGAGCAGCAGAACACCCCTGGCGGACGGGCTGTTGCTCCAGCCCTGGCTGGTAGGGCTCCCTCCAAACCTTCAGTCGCCCCGACCCGCCTATTATCATCACAGTTTTGTTATTTAAAATTGCTGCCGCTGCTGGTTCTTTTGCATATACTAGTTTCATTTTTTTCACTAGATACTGACACCCACTGTTGAGTTTCATTCTCACTTAGCCTCACGTGTATATCCAGCTTTTTCTGTCTATTTTTCATCTTTTCCATTATAATATTTTCTCTTTCTTTCTTCAGTATAATGTATAAATTTTTGGAGCAGTCTCGGGGTCTGATGCCATCATATTTTTTCCCCCTATGATGGCCATTGGATTGAACAGAGGGGCATGTAGTATGTATTATATTTACTTTCCAATCAGAAAATTATATCATTTCGTCTTTCTATCTTATTGTATAGAAATAATACTATAATAAAAGAACTCGAACCGAATTAAAAATTATTACATAACGTGAACTAAACCCTTGTAATTTTCATTGACTACGACATAGCTAAAGCCTAAATTATATGAATTCGGAACCCTAGTAGTATTATTTTTCAAAGAGGGGCCAAAATACAGCTGGTGTGGTCTGGGAATCTGCAGGAGTTGAACCAACAGTTAGACTAATAATTGTGGGAAAAGGGCGGTCGGTGAAATTTGGCCTCCATTGTTCACGTGTGGTTCAATTTTAGTCTTGCTGAAACAATCATTCTCCGATGTTAACAGCCACCCAATTTAATTATTTATGGGTAAATTTTTCAGCATGGAAAACCTAGCCTAGCTTCGCAAATAAAACCAATTCGTTTCGGCTTTACAAGTACGGTCACGCATGCTTTTATTTGGACAATCCACATTGTTTATTTCTATTGCCCCGAACTGATCAGCTAGCCTAATCCAATGGCCATATAAACAAAGACAAAAATGTACAAAGTTTTAAAGCATCTACGTACCGTACTTACTACAATCATATCATCACTAAATTTTTTGTCCTTTTGTTCAAAGATTTTGGTGCCTGCTACGTACTCCTGTGGACGTTCAGCTGGCTTCCGTCGTACATGTTTTCTTTCCACGGCCAAATCTCTCTAACCCTTTACGAAGAGAAGCCTTTATTTCCTCTTTCTATCATTTGTTTTTTACTTTATTTTATAAAATATTGCTTTTCAGTGGGCAAGTAGGAAGATTTTGGACTCTTTGTAGTTTATTCATACAAGGACAATGAACCAAGGAAAAGGTTCAGAATTATTGAGTTAGGAAAGAGGATGATTGGCTTATGGTTTGTTTCTTCGTTGATACTACCTCCACTAGTTCTTTCCATCCTCTAAATATTTTTTTCCTATTAATAAACAAAATAAATATCTGATCTAAGCACCTCAAAAGGGCAAAAGAAAGTCACATATAAAAATTATACAATGGATGGTGCTTGAATCTTTTCCACAGCTTTTGTGCACGAGGCTAGAGTTGAGACGAAAGACTCATGCATGCATCTCTCCCTTATTGCTTTCCCGACTTTCTTAAGCAGTGAAGTTTGGATTATCTGCAGGTTTTATTGTGTTACCCCCACTAGCATTTGTCCTTTGGCCTTTTTAGTGCTTTTTTTACCTGCTTTCAATGGACCCAAAGTGCAAAAAAGAAACCAAAGTTAATTTTCTAATAGAGTAATACATAAAAGGTGTCATGATTTTCATACATATATCATCATGCATGCATGGAACTTGTGTAACTTACTTAACTAGATATTTGAGAAAATCAAAAAGATTTAATTAAGCATGATCATCACAAGTTGAGGATGTCAAATCAGGAATTGGGTTGTAGAAATGTTATATTAAACAAATTTGATATCGAAATTAAGGACAATTAATTTAGAAAAAAAGTCTAATTAATCAAGCTTAAAATTAAGTTAATCATTCTATCAATATGTAAATAAGTTGATGCAACCCCTAACTTCATAATATATACGTGATAAAAAACGAAAACCTCCACAGTCTTTTAAATCCCATCATTCATAAGAATGGGATTTTTAGAAAAAAAAAAAATGCTTCGCAGATAAGGAAGCTTGAAATATATTTTTTCCATGGTTCTAAACTCCATAGGGCTGCTCCTTCTGCATGATCAAAAGATAATCATGCTCAAAACGTGGTTACATAAAGGCAAGATTTTTCCTTTTTAATCTTTTGTCACATTGCTGGCACGAAAAGTATGTCAGCAATTGGAGGATTAATCTGCAACACCAAGCTCACTTTACAAGAATATAATAAGAAATGAACCCTTGACATTATTGAAGAAGAACACCTCTTTCAGCACACCATTTTCAGCTACAGTTCCCTTTCTTTAATTAACCATCCGGTATTGGGTCAAATTGGGATTTGACTCCCAAGTTATGAATATACAAAACAATGAGACTGCATTTTAATAGTTCCTTTAACCACCTCAATAATGTAAAGGAACAGACTTCATCTTTATATTTAATTAATAAATTTAAACTTACTTTTTTAAAAAGAAATTTTTTCACGTTGATTATATAAACTCGAACGCAGATATTCAAATATTTTCCCTTTAAAGAGAAACAAGGATGATTGAGAAATGGTTGCTTTTTATTGCATGCCAACCCATGAATTTTCATTTGAGGCAATGCAGTCAGTCATTAGAGTGTGGGTGGGGTGGAATTATCTTATAAATTATGTTTGTCAAAGACAATGGTGGGGAAGCAAACCAACACAACCATGCCACAGTATAACATTCTTTTGTTTTTCCATGATTAATGATTAACTATACTGTCTTTTTTAATTAAATAAATGCCTCCTATGTAAGTTGTATAATTAATTTAAGCGTAGGTTGTTAATTATAGTATAGACATTACCAATATAATTATTATTTTTAATTATTTTGATTAAATGATATTGGAAACGTCCATGGTCTTGAACAGGCAATGAATGAGCAGTTGATTCTCCTTCAAGGAATAGGACAAAATGAGTTCATCTGAATTTCATTTCTTAATCAGAATTAATTCGGATAAAAACTAATAATGAATGAAAAAACACAGAAATTTGGTGGTTGAGGAGACATTAGATTAGAAGTTAGAACATGGCAGCAAGCTTTGCTTTCTATTTAATATTTTTAATCGCCGGTATTTTCTTTTATTTGTTAAGGTTGGAGGAGCATAGGCAAGCTTGGAAGCTTCTAAAACATGTTAAAAGATTTATATATATAGTTTGATGGTAGAAAAGAAGCCCAAAAACAAGAGGGGTTGAACATGCATCTTACACAAATATAATTTAACTTAACATTTGGTATGAGAGAAGTGAGAGTATATTCTCTATAATGCGTTACGTGTTTGTTTTGTAACAGACCATTGTAATGTAAGATTGCAATACAATCACATTATAACTAAATAATCTAAAATTAATACAATCACATTATATTTCACTATGCAATATTTTTAAAGATATTTTTACCCTTCAACTGTATTATCTTATTAAAAATATTTTATAATATTATAATTAAAATAAAATATATAATATAAGAATCAAAAAATGAAACAAAATATAAAAAAATTAAAATTTTTATAATATAGGTAAAATAAATTAAAATAAAATATATAATATAAAAATTATATTA